CGAGTTTCGTCGAATGTGGATCAAAGCTCTAGGAGGAGTATTTGACATTCCATTGCGAGCGTTTTACAAACAAACCTCAATAGCCAAATTCCTGTTGGGCTGGGGTAAAAAGTAAGAGCGCGAGGTATAGATGAAACGATGAGATCAACGTGTGTACCGAGTTTCATATTATTACATACAAGCGTGTTTGAGTTATGGACCAAGTGTTCGGACCCCGTTCCAGGGGGCGCTGACGAGCTGCCCTGCCACGCCCGGGTACCATCTTCAGCCCGGCTCTGATGGCCGCGGGTTCTGACCCGTGTGCAAAGTTTCAAGAGTTTTCGAGCACGTTAAGGGCCCCAAAAGTGCCCAAAAGGTAGCAAAATAATAATAATACTAAAGAATAATAATCCCAAGGAAAACAATAGGGCCTTCGCCCTTTCAGGGCTTGGGCCCTAATAATAATCCCAAGGAAAACAATAGGGCCTTCGCCCTTTCAGGGCTTGGGCCCTAAATAGCGTAAGATCGCTCTGGCGCAGTTCAAGAGAAGCAGCAGCGCTGATCTCTCTTCCGGGGTAATAATACCAGTCACAGCGCGAAATAAACATGAATGAGCATCTGAAAGTGTGAGTACAACTTATCGAAATCCGTATCATGTCACATTGATTCGCTTAATCAGCGTTTCAACCGTGGAAAGACGTCAGTTAAACAGCTTGTAATCAATGTCATGTATCGTCATATTTACCTCAGAAAACCCACATCAACTCGAGTCAGCTAGAAAAAACAACTCTAGAGAGGAGCATTTTGCTAAATATATACACCATATTACATACGCATTATAATCCTAATGTTCTTCAATATTTAATGCATATTTTAAAATATCTGGCAAGTTTTTATGACAGCCACCATTTAAATGTTTATATTTCATATAATCTTCTTATTATAAAAATAAATAAAAGTGTAATTTAAGTGTTTGTATAGCTACAAAACAGTTCATTATTACCTTCATATTAGGCTAATGAAGCCTATTGGCTACAACTAGACTCCCATAGTTTACAGCATTAGTTAAGAGATTTGATTCCCTTGAGAAAATTTGCCATTTATTGTAACTGATATCCAAAATAATCAATATTGAATCGAATCGTAATCGAAATTAAATCGAATTGCAAGCTTGTGAATCGAAATCGAATCGAATTGTGAAATTTGTCTCAATACCCAGCCCTACAATTTATTCTTCTGCGTAGGGTGCACAGACTGCACACAGTAGGTATGGCGTAGCCTACGCACAGACGCGTACCATACCGCGTACCCTTCACCATAGCCAAACACGCCCCTCCTCAAAAAAATTTAACTACAAGTCGCGACGACGTGGACCGCAAGATCTGTGATTGGTCGGCTTGGTAGCATCGCATTTTTCGGCGTGTTCTTCGCACCGCACGCCATTTTTAAATTGTAAGTTGGAGCAAGTGACTGAGTGATTGCTCTATAAGCTCCAACTCCAACATGATCCACTCTCTTTTAGTCGCCATTGCTTGTAGTAATCTAGCCGCGAGGATCTAAACACAGTGGAACATTAAAACCCTCTGCCGCCAACTAGCGTTTCGGAGCTGTACTGCAGAGCAAACAAGACCTGAACGTAGAAGTATAAATGCTCACGACGGCGTCGCCTACGCCGTACACTACGGTATAAATTGCCATTAATGCACTGGCTATCTGTCCAGGCTATTCCCTTCCTTAAGGCTGAGACATCTCCTGCACTGCAGTGACCCTTAGGCCTGTCGCGATAGTCAATAAATCAATTAATCGCACGATAAAAAAAAAAGAGCTTTATAATTTTTCCGGCCGTGATAATTTCCATTTGCATGCTTGTTTGTTTTCCTCGTCTCTCTCTCTCTCTCTCTACCAAAGAGACTGGATGACAACTCTCGGTTTCTTAGCGTGAACTAGAGCTAAGATTCTCTGCCCGAACTTGACTTGATGCATGGTGGGATTATGCACAACAAAGCAAATATTTTATCACTTAAAACATTATTTCTATATACGAGACATGTTCATTTTGTATTGAATGTTATTCATTCCATATCTAGATTATATGAAATAGTATTATGATGTAAAGACAATCAACATATGTGCATAAGTTCGTGTCTGGATGTGAGAGAGAGAAAAAAATCACAGTAAAGTTTAATACATTTTGAAGGCCGGCTCTATTTATCATCAAAACAAAAATAAATGACAGATTAGATGGATGAGGGCGAGGGTGATCCTCGCTCCGATGGGACAACAGGTCATCAAACTGGGTGCGGGACAGGCGGAAGTAGCGGCCGTCATCCAGCGCAGCTCCTGGAGCGAGCAAATGGTGAAACTAGCCAAACGGTTCGCCTAGGAAGGGTCCGGAGGACACAGATATACCAACACAGTCTCATGAAGATGCGTATCTATACCACAAGTGTCATTTCTCGTGGCATTTATACGCCAAAAGTGTTTTTTTTCGTGTATATGGTACGCACTAAAAAACCCTGGGTTAGGTTTAGGGGGGGGGGGGGAGTTCGTGCGTATTATACGCAAAAAAGTGCGTATCATATGTACGCGAAAATCGCGTGCCATGTACACGCAAAAACTGTTTTTGGCGTATAAATGCCACGAGAAATGACATTCGTGCCATAGATACGAACTTTCATGAGATCGGGCTGGATATACGGCGACGATGATCCCCACGCCGCTGTTCTGCTCTCCAGAGTAAATACAGAGCGGTAACTCTCTTGATGAATGCTCGGTCGACATAAAAACAATGGCCGCCACTGGATTTCGATTCTGACGCGCGTCACGCACGTAAATTTCGCTTCAAACTTTTGTTTCTGACGCGCGTCACGCACGTAAATTTCGCTTCAAACTTTTGTTTTACGCGCGTCAGTTTCACTCTTGACACGCGAATTAACACAAAGTGGTCAAGCGTCAAACTAGACGCGTCAGCCGCGAATTTGACGCGCAATTCGCGTCCGGTGTGAACGCAGATTAAAACTGACAGAAACGGACATGGAAATCACACACATCAGAGTTTCTTCATGCTTTCATTTTGAATTCTGGATGTTCATTTGTCTATAGTGAATCTACAACTTTTTAATACAGTATGTTTTGTTGTCCAAAGAGGTCGACTTGGAAGTTTTTGCAAAAAAAAAAAAGAAGCACAAATGGACTTAAGTTTAAGATGGTTACATTTTTGCAATAATAATTAATTATTATTATTTTTTTTAAATCAGGCATTTCAATAACTGACTAATAAACTTTTCAGTGCCATTAAAGTGGAATTACTGAACCTAAACATGGGAGCCTGATAAAAAAAAAAAGATAATTTAAAAGATAATAAAAAATAAAAATGATAATAACATGTCAGTCGGTCTTAAAGGGATTTTGCATCTACTCTTTGTGTGAGTTTAGGTCTGGTAATTAGTTGTAATAAATCTTAGCTTCCTCTCCATCCTCACACTTTTTAGTGCTGCTACTGACCACGAGGGGGCGCTGTCGAGTTCTTCAGGCTCCATATTATCTCAGGCAGGAAGGCAGAGGCATCCTTGTCCTCTTCCTGGTCAGAGTCAGAGTCTGTATCTGAGTTTGGCTTAGACTGCACATGCAAGGTCTTACAAGTTTGCCATCGCATTGTTCAACTGGTCAAGTATGTAAAAACGTAGATTGGTTTAATTTGGAACCAAGAAGTAACACTCATTTCCTCTTGACTAATCATGAGTTTGTCATACTAGTACTTGAGGCACAGACACATTGGCTATGTTTATGCAACTGTGGCAGCTGGACACTGAGAGGAAACTGGGGGAGCATTTCACACAGTAATTGAGCTCACAAACGCTGTCCCTCAGAGTCTGCGTCTTTTCACGGCACACATGCAAGATTTGTGCTTGCAACATCATTAAAGCCGAGAGACTACTCGCCCGCCTCCAGCTCTTCACAAAAACAACTGGGAGTACATTTCACTGGGAGTGAAGTCCCCTCCCTTCCCTAACTCCCTAAAAAACTGAAAAACTTTTGAGCAACATCTTCAACAAAACCAGAAGCAAACAGTGTGGATATTGCAGCGTCTTAAGGCAAGAGAAAGGAATGTGTTTGTATGCAAACCTCTGTGTTTATGTGCATCATGTGTCCTCGTAAATCACTCTTCGCAAGAACAGTAATTACTTTCAATTAAAAAAATTATAGAGACGGTGAAGTACATGCAATGGCAGCAGAAATCCTAAAACGCACCATCTAGACACAAACACAACAAATAAATAAATTAAACTACATAAATAAACGTCCTTGAACTTAACTTTTTTTTGTGCTGGCAGCTCTTTCAGTTCATCATTAAGCCTCTTAATACGCCGCTTATATTGGGAATTTTCAGGCATGTCTACGACACTTCCACCGAACTATAAAAGCCTACCTATGTTTTTTTGCACTCAATCAACCAACCATAATTTTAAACACCTCTGGTGAGCATTACACATCACATGCTATGATCTCAGATCGCATGGTCTTATCCATAACCAACCAGTAAAATCTATAATTTTGGTATTATAATTTTGGCTACAGTCAGCTCAGACTCAGCTCAGACCCTTTTTTTCCTTATTAAGATGGACCAACTCCACCAACAGATCACAAATATAATAAATAGCGATAAATGGGCAATATGACAGAAGCTAATCAGATTCGAGGACCGGGACTATACATTGGATATATTGAGGACCGATATTTTTGCCAATTGACCAATTGGATAAGTGTTACCTCTGCTCTTTTTTTTCCTGTGAATTTGGAGCATATATTGTCTAAAATAAGTGTTTATTTTTCATTTCATTCATACTGGTCTGCATTATATTGAATGGCCTGCTCTCTATATCAGAAACCTCTATTGACCACTAGTTAAAAAGTAATGCAAGCACTTGGATAAGATTGTACAACCTGAGATTTCATTGGAGACTCTTTTTATGTCTGTATTGTATTTATGAGTAATATACTGTATATCTGTGTATCTTTAGCCACAGGAGCAGCAGGAATTATTCCCTCTGGGCCACAGCTGTGCAGTATGTGGGAAAAACCAGTGCACACGCCACAGGTATGATCTCATTATGTTTAAAATGAAAAAATGAAAGTCTTATGGTTTTAGTTCACATTGTTACATTATTTCCCTCCTGACAGTATCTAAACCCTTCTCCCATATTTCAGTGTCATTGATTAAAATGCTGCTCCTAATGTATATGCAAGCAGGGCGAGGTTGGGAATGAGTGGGAACAAATAACAGCTGTGTCGCCCACTGGTCTCAAGACCAAACAGAGGAGTGCCTCGGACTCGAGGAGAACTACATACTGTTGTCTATCTGTATAATGCATTTGACTGGAAAGTGGCTATATTTTGGACCAGTGGTGGAGGAAGTACTGAATCTCAGTACTTAAGTAAAAGTACAAATAAACAGATAAATATTTACTTTAGTAAAAGTAGAAGTAACACAATGACAACCATACTTAAGTAAAAAGTAAAAAGTACCTGATTTTAAATGTACTTTAAGTATTAAAAGTAAAAGTACTTGCATAACAATTGATTCTCTTAATGTCTATTTTTTCTAACGATTAATAAAACATTTAATTCTAACTCGTTCTACCTAACACTCCTATAATGATCATCAATAATTATGGAAAAAAATTGTTGTCATCATTTCTGAAACAAGCTTGCAATTAGGCAATATACACATCATGCTTATCCTTCCTATATGTTAATAACTATGTTTGGCAGTAAACGCGATTAATTTATGGTGTAATTCTGAACCTCTTGGCTTGCCATAATCCTAACCAAACGTATATTACACACGGTGCGTTTCCTATGCACATAAAAACAAATTTTCGCGTATAAATTGCACGATAAACACACTGCGTGCGAGACGCATTTAGTTGATGTATCTATGGCAACCAAACGTCACTGGTGAGACAAACGTGCAACGGACGGACGGTCAGATTACGTTTTGGCAGGGGAAAAACTGATCAGAAAATGTAATGAAAATGTAACAGAAGTTGTAGAAATGTAGTGGAGTAGAAAGTATAATAATTGCTGCAAAATGTAACGAAGTAAAAGTAAAAAGTATGCACTATTTATTCAGTAAAGATACGTGAAAAATGTACTTAAGTAAAGTAACAAAGTATTTGTACTTCGTTACATTCCACCACTGTGTTGGACTATCTCTGAGCCACACCTCCAAACAACAATCTTTTTTTCTTTTGAACGCTAACAAACAAACAAAACCAAAAAAACAATTCAACAGTAAAATTCTACAGCAAAAATGAAGGGACAATGTATGACCGTCCGTAGTGTGGGGAAGGAGGAGCTGAGAACCGGCTGGACTTCAACATAAGTAATCTGGAGAATTTGGGTAGCAAAATCATGCCGTCTTCATATGCTATCGGAATTATCATTAATATGAAATTCCTAGTTAAAAATTGGACATGGAGAAACTGGAATGCCTTCTCGAGTCGTATTTACCACTGCGAAGCTCAGGGATAGTTTTCAAACCCAAGTTCCCGGGTTGGGCATGAACTTTAAACATAGTGAAGATCCTCCTTCTGGACAGTCCCTCCAGAAAAACGCGATTATGCGATCGCTGAATTCAGTGCAAAATCAGCCAAAGTCCGTATATTTATGCAGGGGCCGCATTTTTTCAAATACGCCGCACTTTCGCCGCATAAATTGCCGATTTCCGTGCAAAATATGCGGGGTTTGCATAATTTCATAATCCTCACATTTTTGTTGCAAAAAAAGTCACATGTATCTTAGGAGAAAGTTGAAAAATGATGCATTTGCTTCACACAAGAGCAGCCATTTCCCCCTGTTTCCATGGGAACGTTATGAAGTGACGCAATTACGCGACGCCAGACAGACTCGACTGACATCTCACAAATCGAACTCGTATTCTGTCTGTCGCACGTTCTACTGTCACATCGTTACTTAATAAACAACATAAGATAAAAAAAGTAGCATCAAACAGAAATTACCCGCACACACATATGAGGCGCACATATAACACTGCAGAGAGCTCTTAAAGGGGCCACACCTTATTTACACTCTTACAGTCTGAAATAAAACAAGATGAGAAATTAAATATTCCCAGCACTTTCTATGATGTAGTATGCTTGTTTATCAAAGGAAGTAATAAGAAATGACTCTTACATTAACAGGATGTTGGGGGAATCACTTTTTTTCTCTTTTTTATCAAACCAAAATTTTTGCAAGTTCCCTCAATTTTTGCAAATTCCAGCAATTTCATCGCATAAAATTGCATAAATATCCCGCATATTCCATCGCATTTTAAAAGAAAACGGGCCGCATAATCAATCAATTTTTGCCCGCAACAATCACAAAAAAAAAAAACTCAGCGTTTTTCTGGAAGGACTGAATACTATTATGGTAAATATTAAATATAAATCGCAAATTTTTTCACAAATTTTTGGAAATTACCACCACAAAATCAGTCATTTTCATCGCAAAAATCACACAAAAAAAATCGTGAAATCCTGGAGGGACTGTCTGGACCTCTTCATTAGGTTTTCCCACAACCGCTACATCGCCTGGCCTTTTTGTTAAAGTAGTGCATGTTTACATATATAGATAATCATTTGAAGCGCTTTGTATGTTTAACGCAGCAAAAATAGCCTGTATTTGACCCAAATTCCAGAATTGTCAGCAAGCTGACTATAGCATGCAGTGAATCTTTGTGGTTGTCAATTAATGGGACGCTAAATATAATTTTAGGATTTAAAATGATTTTCCCAATAAATAGGCAAGAATAAACCCGGTGTACTCCATGATTCCTGTTATTTCCGACAACAAAAGCACTTGAATGTGACTATCTCGTAACAACTTAACGTAAAGGAGGCATAATCCCCGAGCTTCCTAGTGGCAAGCCAGACCTATCAAGATGTTGGGTCTGGGAACTCACAATTGGCATGCCTCAATCCGAGGGGCGGGAATAAAAGGTTGTCTTTCAAGCGCTAACCAACCAGAGCAATGAACAGCTGTGGCTGAGTGAGTCCCATGCGTTTTCCCCATGGTTTTCCCTCCAGCGGAGCAAGTTGATGTATCAAACTACTGCCGTATCTGGTCTTCAAAACTCTGAACACATCTTCCTTTTTTAAGAATGACTTAAGTGACGTTCTCTTAACTCCAAATCATCCGAGTCTTGGCCAAAACCGAAACGAAAGACCGCTGTTTGCCAGCTGCATCTTGTTTGTTTTCAAGTAGCAGGGAAATCACCTATGGAAATCACGGCGCAGAACCGTCACAACTCTGCCGTCATTGTGTTAAGCCCGCCCACCAACTCTATACACACGATGTGATTGGCCTGACCAGAGTTTGGTTTTTCCACACTTTGCTGCAAAATAATTTTTGCTGCCGCAAGGGTGCGTCTAGATTTCTAGACTACATTCATGGCCAATTTTTTGTCTAGGAAACTCTCATATATGATAATTGTGATTGTGAAAGATCGTATTTACGTGTTGAATGTATATGAACTCCAACACAAATCCGTAAATAGCAGTGCGAAGCTTGGCATTTTCGTTAAGCCCTGATCTGTTAATGGCGTCACAGTGAAAAACATGGTGGAATACCTAGCAGTGACATTGTCAGGCTTTTTTATTTATAATAAAAAAAAATTAAAAAAAAGATTTGCTGCACAAAATATGATAGCATTGTATTGTAACAATAAGATGTGGCTTCTTTAAGTTAAAGCTGCAGTCTGTAGCTTTTTTTGTGTTAAATGATCCAAAATACATATTTGAGAAAACGAAAAGCTCGATTCAAAGCAGTAAGCTTGTAATAATGTTTTTAATTCCAGTTGGATTTCCGGGAGATTCGAGCGTGTCTTTGCGTCACATCTGTACACACACATCTCCACATAAAGAAGAGTCTCGGCTAGTACTAGACTATATTGTGTGTGAGGATGTTGTGTTGGAGGTGGAGATTTATAGCCTTTTCTCACAGCACTTTTTCATGGCGGATCCAGAAAGATTCAAACGACGATCACCAGTGACGACAGATTCACCCGTTGTAAAATGCAAAAGACTTCGTTCAGACTTTCGGAGTGGCTACAGAAAAAAAGAGACTGCAACAAGGATAATATTGGAAGGACATAACATGTAGTCACGCAATGCTGACATTGTTAACATTAATAATTTGAGAACAAAGTATAATTTGCAAGGTTTTGCGTGATATGATAACTTATAAGCGATTGTTAGGTTTAATCAGGGTGATTTACTGCAATGTCAGAAGCAGAACAAAAGTGGATGTTTCTTACTGGTTCAGATGTCTTTTTCCGGTGAAAACTCTTACGTTGGTCATACTATCTGTGATTCCGAATGCCAGTATCCACACCGGATGTGACCGACACACACACTCTCCTCAAACATCGTGTTCTTCCACGCCGTGCCGTGCCGAGGCACAACCCACGTAAAGTTACTAATTCCGCGAATAACTGCAATTGCAGATTTCAAACAGAGATGGCGACAAAGAGGAAAAACTACGGACTGCAGCTTTAAAAACATAACAAAGTGAACACGCTATTGATGCAAATTATTTGTTCTTATTTTTCTTGAAATAGAGTTAAAAAAAAGCTTGCTGTATTCTTGTGTAGTTAAAGGATTAGTTCACTTTTGAAAAAACTTTTGCTGATAATTTACTCACCTCCATGTCATCCAAGATGTCCATGTCTTTCTTTCCTCAGTCGAAAAGAAATGAAGGTTTTTGATGAAAACATTCCAGGATTTTACTCCATATAATGGACTTCAATGGGAACCAGATGGTCCAAGGTCCAAAAGACAGTTAATAACAGTTTCAGATGCAGCTTCAAATGTCTTTAAATGACACCAGACGATGAATAAGAGTCTTATCATGCGCAACGCGTTTGTCACGTATTACGTAATTACGTTCAAAAGGTCACGGGCGACGTAGCCGGTCACAAGTTGAACGCATAGGTTGAACGTGCAAACTAACTCAAACGCCGTTTACAAAAAAAGGAATCAAAAGGTAAAACAACGATGTCGGACGATTTTGATTCTGTACTTCCGGCTACGTCGCCCGTGACCTTTTGAACGTAATTACGTATTACGTGACGTTACAAACGCGCCTCACAATATATTACAAGGCTAGCATTTGTCCTTAGAAAAGTTACATTTTTGGAATAAGCTTTGAAATAACCGATCGTTTCGCATGATAAGACCCTTATTCATCGTCTGGTGTCGTTTAAAGACATTTGAAGCTGCATCTGAAACTGTTATTAACTGTCTTTTGGACCTTGAACCATCCGGTTCCCATTGAAGTCCATTATATGGAGAAAAATCCTGGAATGTTTTCATCAAAAACCTTAATTTATTTTCAACTGAGGAAAGAAAGACATGGACATCTTGGATGACATGGGGGAGAGTGAATTATCAGCAAAAGTTTTTTCAAAAGTGAACTAATCCTTTAATTAAGGGGGTTTTCACACTGGCAGTTTAGTTCGAAACAAGTTTAGGTCACAAATATTGTTTCTGTATAAGAAACCGGTGTTCATGCCTCCAGCCTCGCTCTCTTCCCACGGCTCTCGGCCCCACCCTGCAACATCAATTCTGCTTGTGAAACCTTTTTGATTAAATAATGATGTAAATGTATCTATATAAAGTATTTGTGTTTCTCTTCCAAAGGCCGACCCTTCTGCTGGAGAACTATCAGCCATGGCTGGACTTAAAGGTGTCGTCCAAAGTGGATGCCAGTATTTCAGAGGTAAAGCTACAACCCCAGTCACTTGGAAAATTATAAGCAAATTCATACTAACTGACTAATAAATACTTTGCTTGACTGATCTTCAGGTTTTGGAGTTAGTCCTCGAGAACTTTGTGTACCCATGGTACAGGTATGGCTGCTTTTAATGCAAAAGCTGCTTTTATCACAACGTCGTTTTAGCTGGGGAAATTAATTTTTTCTCTCTTTTTTGATGATCTGCAATCAGAGATATTACAGATGATGAAGCGTGTGTGGATGAACTGAGACAAACGATCCGTTTCTTTGCTGCAGTTCTGGCTCACCGAGCACAAAGGGTACATTGACTCTATTGACTCAGATATCAGAGTTGACATACATCTGTAAAGTAGCATTCTGACTAAAATGGTCTTGCAGGTGGATGTGCCCTCACTTGTGATGGACAAAATGATGAAAGCGGCTATGAAGCACATTGAGATCATGGCAAAAGCACAGCAGAAAGGTGCGTCCTGTGATGAAATCATAAAATATGAGAGATTAGGTCTAGAATTAAAACTAAACAAATAAATGGAAAGGAAGAGACGGGTCTTTTTAACTTCCATTCCTATAGTCGCCTATGGAGCATTTCTGCCGTAACTCAGGAGTATAAAATTCCATCATTTCAATTAGTTATTTTTTATAATGTTACTTTGTTGAAATTGTGTGTGATCAGTGAAGAATACCGAGAGCCTCCAGCAAGCAGCTCTGGCTGAGTACGGTGCCGATCTGCATGTGGCCCTGCGGAGCCGCAAAGATGAGCTGCTGTACTTGAGGAAACTCACAGAACTGCTCTTTCCTTACGTCATGCCACCGAGAGCCACAGACTGCAGGTACACCTCACGCCAAACACAATATACTTCAAAACCTTCGGGTTAAAATGTTTTTGGAAAAAGTTTTTCTCTTATGCTTATCAAGGCTGCATTTAACCCTTAAAGACCTATACAGCCGCCGGCGGCTAAAAATAACTGTTGTTCTTAAATGTTAAATAACTTTTGAACCGCTGCTCCAATCCGTATGCTTTAAAAAGTCCCATAAAGAGGAGATTCGCGGCTTTTCTGTGATATCGGGTTAATCGCGTTTGGACATTCAGAAGCTCCGTAGTGAATGTGATTGCGTCATCAAGTTTTGATCAGCATTGATTCGTCAAAGAAACCCGTGCGTTTTTTTTCCTCTGAGCCAATCATAAATGACTGTTAATGCTTATTCCCACCCCATCCCCAGATTGGTTAAAACTATCATCTACTCAACCAATAAATATAGTTCTTGGTCTTTTGCACGACCAATTAGCATCTTTCTTTAGAAATTTGAACAGAGGTAAAGTCAAAGTAGTTCATATAGGCTATGTATGTATGTATGTGTGTGTGTGTGTGTGTGTGTGTTTATATATATATAAGTTTTATTTATATATAAGGTGTGTTTTTCTTTTTTTGCTTCATTGTTCTACTACAATGTTTCTATTTATGTTACTTCCTTAACTTTTTTGGACACATCTAAATTGTCAGTATAAAAAACACTGTTTTCACTGAAACAATGCTTTTCACTGAAAATCGCCTATAATAATGTTGTAATAAATACCTATAACTTGCTTAGGGATTGTTGCATGTAGTCAAAATTACATCTGGAAATGTAAAATATCCAAGTACAGCTTTCTAAAGGAAAAAAATCCAAACTTCAGGAGGATTTGTTTGAGTTGAGTAAAAAAAATCACTACAAATATGCTGCCGTTTTTCTTAAATCTGGTAAATTCATCCATTCTAAGACAAATTAAATGTACAATTGGATTATTTAAATGAGATAGATTGAAACTCCAAGTTCTCCTGATAAAAATGATATATGGCACTTGATGCTGACTGCTATAATGGGTTAGAAAAACAAAGAAAAGAACAAGCGGTGCAGGTGCTCCAAAAATGGTCTAGGTCTTTAAGGGTTAAAGGGGCGATGAACTGAGAAATCAAATTTTCCTTGAGCTTTTGACATCTAAGAGGTCATCATCATCATACTATAAGAATATCCTGTAAGTTTCAGAACTGAAAACGTCCTTGTTAGTCCAATAAATGCTTTTATTGACACCAGGCTCAGAAAACGACTCGTTTTTCAAAGTGGGGAACTATGACGTCAAAGAGATTAAAACACCACCCCCGCAGAAGAAGATCAACGGCCGGTTTAGCCCCGCCCACCGATTCGTGCATTACACATTACATTACGCAATTACTTCCAAGTCTTCAGTGCGACACGCCCATAAAAACCCAGCGTTTTTCAGCTAGGCTCAAAACTAGGGTAGAAAATAGCCTATCACTTATTCATTTTGATGTTTTTGAATGTAAAAACCAAGCGAACGCCATAATGCTACGTTCACACCGGACGCGAATCGCGCGTCAAATTCGCGCCTGACGCGTCTAGTTTGACGCTTGACCACTTTGTGTTAATTCGCGTGCCAAGAGCGAAACTGGCGCGCGTAAAAACAAAAGTTTGAAGCAAAATTTTAACTTTTTGCGTGTGACGCGCGTCAGAATCGAAATCCGTTGGCGGCCATTGTTTTTATGTCGACCGAGCATTCATCAAGAGAGTCACCGCTCTGTATTTACTCTGGAGAGCAGAACAGCGGCGTGGGGATCATCGTCGCCGTATATTTGTGTCCACCGGACCCTTCGGAGCCGAACCGTTTGGCGAGTTTCACCATTTGCTCGCTCCAGGAGCTGCGCTGGATGACGGCCGCTGTCAGCGTTACTTCCGCCTGTCACGCGCCCAGTTTGATGACCTGTTGTCCCGCATCGGAGCGAGGATCACCCTCGCCCTCAACCATCTAATCTAGCTGTCATTTATTTTTTGTTTTGATGATAAATAAAGCCAGCCTTCAAAAGTTATTAACCTGTCCTGTGATTTTTTTTTTTCTCTCTCTCTCACGTCCAGACACGAATTTATGCACATTTATGTTGATTGTCTTTACAACATAATACTATTTCATATAATCTAGCTAGGGAATGAATAACATTCAATACAAAATGAACTTGTCTCGTATATAGAAATAATGTTTTAAGTGATAAAACATTTGCTTTGTTGTGCATAATCCCACCATGCATTTAGTCATATTAACAAAATAATTTATTGAAGCATCCAGACACTTCACCACGTGAGAAAGCAGCTAGGCTCCTGATTGGTTAACGCGGCGCGAATTCACGCCAAAGTTCAGATTTTTCAACTCGGGCGGCAGACGAGTGAATGCACAAATGGCACTAACTGAATCATTCGCGCGTAACGCGCTTAATGCGCCAGACGCTCAATTCGCGCGAACGAGGCGTATTCGCGTCTTCCGCGCCTCGCTCCACGCCTCATTCTGCCGCAGGAATTTTTCACGCGCGTAAAGCGTCTTTGCATTGACTTAACATTGAAATCATTCGCGCCTGACGCGCTATTCGCGTCCGGTGTGAACGTAGCATAAGTTGACCTCAGACAACAATATAAAAATTTTTTAAAAAGACAGTTCATGACCCCTTTAATAAGAAATTTTGTAAAACTCTTATTACAATTTTAAATAACTCTTTTTCTGTTCAAATATATTTTAAAATTCAACATATTTCAATGATTGCAAAGCTAAAATTTCCGAAAAATGTAATGTAATAAAGAAACTAAGTTATTTTTGGAGAATACCAGCAAAAGTTGTGACGTCAGGCGGTCAGAGCAAACAAAACATGGAGCTGAAAAAGTAATGCTGTCTTATAATTTTGCCACCGCGTTTCGGCGCACAGGCCTTCATCAGGGCTAAAAGGTTACAGGTGAACATTGGTTCCTTTCAGTACAAAAAAGGACAAAATAAAACTCGCAAACAACCACTATAAAAATGTTGCCCGATGACCGATAATTCTTGATATTTGAAAGCTGATAACCGATATATTGGCCGATATATCTAAATTCAAATTCGTATATAATTTTTGATTACAAAAACAAAAGTGTCACCATTAAAAGCCATGTCCGAAGCACACAATTATATATATTATCTCATTCTAATGTTATGTAGCCTTATGTCGTTTTTGAAGTGATTCCAATCCTATTTCAATCATCTGAACTGTCTCAACTGGAGGAAATAATCCATTATTTATTGTAACCTATGAGCACCTGTAACCTTTTAGCCCTGATGAAGGCCTGTTTTGTTTGTTCTGACCGCCTGACATCACAACTGTTGCTGAAATTCTCCAAAAATAACTTAGTTTCTTCTTTCCATGCACCTTGTTGATCACGTGAAGTTGCGCTAGAACAACGACACAACAAAGCTGGATTTTCGGCATCATTACTCCAGTCTTCTAATGCTCTGATTTGCTGCCAAAGATTTGCTGCTTCATATTTTTTTGAAGCTGCTTTTGTGAAGCAGCACAACTGTTTTCAACATTGATAATAACAAGAAATGTTTCTGTTAAAAAGACTGGAGTGATGATGCTGAAAATTCAGCTTTGTTGTGTGATAACTGTTTTTCCAATAGAAAGTTAATCAAAGGACAGCATTTATTAGAACCATGTTTTTTTGTAATCATGTAAAAGTCTACATGATTAATTTAACGCATCCTTGGTCAATAAAATAATTCATTTCTTTAAGATATCGTACTGACCCTACAGCAATGTATAACAAAGATACAACCATTTATAGTGATTTGAGAACCATCTTAATGATTTTACCAGTAAGGTTTCTAGGCGTGGATTACTGCGTGGAAAGTGTGATGAGGGTCAGTTGATGTTCCTCTGTGATTCACTCTCAGGTCTTTGGCCCTGCTGATTCGAGAGGTCATGACAGGTTCTGTGTTTCTGCCAATAATGGACTTTGTGGCTGATCCTGTAAGTGTAACTGGTTACAACTGTCATTTTGCCTGTTTATTTTATGCATTAATATCTGCATTTGTTATACATATACACGTATACATAAGTTGTTTTTCTGTGTGTGAATCTTGTAGTTGTTTATCCAATCTATAAATCACATATTTTTCCGCAGGACACTGTAAATCACATGGTGCTCATCTTCATCGATGATAGTCCAGTGAGTGGTTCAAACAAATCAATAACAGACTGTTCAGTCAGCCTTTCCTGCCAAATGTGTTTTAATAATGTGCTTTTTTTTTTTTTCCATATTTTTGTGTAATTTTTCTGCTAGCCTGAGCCAATCTATGATCCTCCATCTGCTCTGGTGCCCTTCCTGGAGAAGTTTGCAGATCCACGCAACAAGAAATCCTCGGTATGTACAACTTATGTCACCTTGACATGGTGCTTAAGTGTGAAAGTGAAAGTAACTCTGATTCAGAGTTGAAGTTAATGAGATAATTAATGAGATAGTTAATAAGTTAATGAACGCTTGCTGGTAACAAGTCTCTGTTAAATCTCTGAAGATCTCAGCCAGACTGACTTTTTCTCATTATTAAATACTTTTGACTTTATTTCTCGTACAACTACGGTTCTTTTTGAGAATTAACAGAGGTTTAGATGTTGATGTTTGTTGTAAGTCACCATTATGGTGATCAGTGTTTCCTTTAGTTGGGCAGTTGGATTGTGAGTTTGTGCTCTGTGTTACGGTGTTTACCAAAATACAAAATGTGTTGCAAAGGATGCCATGAAACAAAGATGATCAGCTGATACGTTTTTCAGCATCAGAAAGTAGAATAATCAGAGATGTATAAAGTACTAGAAACCCGGACTTGAGTAAAAGTACAAGTGCTCTATTTGAGTAGAAGTTGAAGTGCTCTTTAAGCACCACACTCAAGTAGAAGTACTAAAGTATTCAACATTTTTTGTACTTAAGTATTGCAAGTAGTTTATTTTAAAATTCACTACTTAAGTACTAAAAGTAAAAGTACAAGTATTGTGTCTTGTAATTATTAAAGAAAGCAGTCAAAAGTTTGAACTAGCAATCAAATAAGGCGCTTTGGCGGGATACAAATTTGCTTTGGTGGCCGCCAAAAAAATGTCATTGCAGGACGACCCCTGCATTAGTTGTCAATGTGTGTGTCAATCAATACCATTACCCAATAAAACTGTCATGTGATTTAAGCAACACGAAAACCAACTTGCAACGAATGATTCGTATTTTTTTTTTTATAATTGTAACGAGTAACTAGCAGAACATTAAAAAAAAATATCGAAGTAAAAGTATTAAATTCATCGAAAATATCTGCTAAAGTAAAAGTACTACTTCGTTACTATACATCTCTGAGAATAATTCACTAATCGTATTCTTGACCAAAAAAAGGTTATTTTTTACAATTTAATAGATTATATTTACAATGAATATTATGGTGGATCTTTAATAGATACATGAACTAGTCATGTTTCTGACTCTAAAAGGATGATCTACCCTTATGATAAACTTTTACTTGACTTCCCCTTTGGGTCTAATATTATGACTAATTCTTACCTCACTTCCCTTTTAGGCATCCTAAAATTTGAGGAAAAAGTAGTGTTCGAAACTAGTGAAAACTCATGACTTTGGTTGTGTGAGTGTAAAAATAACAAATATGGGAAATGAAACTAGACCGATGTCTAACCTTGAAACCTTTTGGTAACCTGGTAACAAGAGGGGTTGTCTATGATTATGTAATGTTTAATGTAATTTTGCCAAACTGTTGTATTTACTGGTGGTATTCTCAATGGAGATCCACTGGCCTTGTTTCTTTTTGGGAGATTTCCTGAGAACTGCTCGGAAAGATCTCCCAGCCGTAATTAAAGCATTTGGAGGACATCTGCTGAGGTCTGTCTTCTGCGCTGCAGGTCACTTTAGGGAAGCAAGTAAGTATGAGTATAGGTAGGCGACTCAGCTGTAGATGCGCCGTCTTATAGGACGTGGTTAATGTTAGGGAAAAATCTACCACAATACATATTTGCAACAGATCAGAGATTCTGAATTTTAATTTTTAAAAAGCATTGTGGGATTTCACACAGACATCAAGAATCAGCATATGAATCTCAATAATGGTGATATGCTTCATGCCACAATGGATGCATTTCAGCATGAAGCAAGACACCATTGTTGATATTCATATACTGATTATTGATGTCTCTATGCCTAAAGAAAAATCCCACAGTGTATTTGAAAATCAAAATGCAGAATGTTTGATCTATTGCAAATATGTATTCATGGTGAATATAGGCCTTATCTCTCTCTCTCAGGGATAAGACGAGTGAAAACTATCCAGTGATGTTGAAAACCATATCACCATCTTTGTTCATGGTGTCCTTCAGTTCAGTTCAGTTCATCTTTATTCATTTCCCGAAGGCATACACATAAAAAACACTGTCATACACATTCACAAATAAATACATTTACAAAGAATTTAAAAACTTTACAGCTGATGGAACAAATGAATTTTTAAAACGATTCGTTTTACTAAGCGGCATTCTATACCGACTACCAGACGGAAGAAGTTCGAACTCATAGTAGAGGGGGTGAGAAACTTCAGACAGAATGTTCTGTGCTTTACCCAAAGCCTGTCTCTGATATAACTAGGGTTGGGTATCGTTTGAATTTGAACAATTCTGATTCCGATTCCTTGTTTCGATTCCGGTTCCTAACGATTCTCGATTCCGATTCTTTTAAGAGGCAGGGTCAAAAAAGTTTAGCTAACCTTGTTAACCAACGGTATTTCTGAAGGAAATAATCCTTTCTGAAGGAAATACTCCTTCTGTAAAAATACTCCTTTTGTCACAAATTTTGCATTTTGCCGAGATTTCGTTATTTTTAGAAAAGTGAAGCCACACTTTGGATCGTCGACGTAAGCTACTCATGTTCGACTCGCGTGGTTATGCCAACACTTCCGGTAGACGCTTCTTCGTTGGTGTTGTTCAGCGGTTTCTTCTTCCGCTCGGCGGACTGTGAATATTGAAACTAGGAATCGAAATTTTTACTTTTGAACGATTCCGGGAAAAACGAAAAGTTAGTCTCGGTTCCAATCGATACTCGATTCTCGATACCCAACCCTAGATATAACTGAGCCATGGTCATTTGCTTCCTCCCCGTTATTTTATTTCCTTGATTTACTATCCTCTCAATTCAATTTTTATTTTTCACACTCAGAGAATTGAACCAGCACAACAATGAATAGGATATACACGACTCAATATATGATCTATAAAACATACACATCAATGTTTTATCCACATTAAAAGACCTTAATTTTCGCAAACAATGCAACCTTTGCTGTGCCTTCTTACACAAGGCATCAGTATTTGCGGAAAAATTCAGATTACGATCTAACACAGTACCCAAGTACTTGTACTGTTCAACACTCTGAATACCCTCTCCATTTATACTTATTTGCTTATCATCAATCAATTTCCCTCTCACTCTAAAATCAATACTCATCTCTTTAGTCTTCGAGACATTTTGACACCAAGCAACGAAGTCATCAACCACAGGGCCAATGAATTTGATCCTCCTCACTCAATAAGCTAACAATTACAGAGTCATCAGCAAATTTTAAGATGTGCCTATTACTAAAACCACTCCTACAGTCATTGGTGTACAGAATAAATAATAAAGGAGAGAGGACGCATCCTTGAGGTGACCCAGTGGATGACACCAACCATTCAGAATAACAGTCGTTTACTTTGACTCTCTGTCTTCTCTGTACAAGGAAATCTAAAATCCATCCTACCAAATAGAAATCCAACCCAAATTCCTTGATAAGTTTATCAACTAAAATATGTGGCTGAATATTGTTAAAAGCAGATGAAAAAATCAATAAAAAGTAATTTGACAAAAGTTTTCGGCTTCTCTAAACGTTGAAATACTAAATGTAAGAGAGTTGCAACAGCATCTTCTACACCTCGTTTATTTCTGTAGGCGAATTGAAGAGGGTCTAAAAAACTCAGTCTTTTTCATAATTTCTCTCTTAACTAGTTTTTCTAGGCATTTCATCACTAAGGATGTAAGCGCCACAGGTCTAAAATCATCTACCATCTGTGCATTTTGCTTTTTTTTTCAATGGAATAACAGTAGACTGCTTCCACCGTGCAGGTACTTTTTGTATTTGTAGGGCCCAGACAAAAATGTTATAAAATATAGGTCCTAGCTGCTCAGCACATTTCTTAAGTAAACATCCTCCTATATTATCAGGCCCCGGAGCCTTCCTAATTTTACATTGTTTAAACACTGTTATCACATCCCCTACGTCAAAAGGGACACAACCAAACTCTCTATTTATCCAACACTTTTTTTTAGATTTGAAATCATACGCCTCAAATCTCATATAAAATGTATTAAATTCCTGTGATAAAGCTGCATCTGATCTGAATCCGTTTAAACTAATTGGATTATTTATTTTCCTCTTATCCTGACCTGTGATTAAATGCATCCCCTCCCAGACTGAACCTAAATTCCCCTCTTTCAATTTGAACTCAAGATGTTCCTTACAGTATATACTGTTTTAGCCCTCTTTATTTCACCCTTAATTTCTCTTTTTAGCCTATGATGCTCAACGATATTTCCCTCTTTAAAAGCCCTATTTCTTTTTGACAGAAGAATCTTAATTGATTTTGTAACCCACGGTTTACTGTTTGGGAATTTCTTAAATGATTTCACAGGTATTAACATGTCCTCACGAAACGTCACGTAACTACAAATTTCATCTGTTACTCGATCAATGTCCGACCCAGAGTCCATAAAAACAGTCCAATTTGTACAATCCAGACACCCTTTTAAACGTGACGTAGCCTCTGCAGACCAGTCTTTCGTCTTAATAACCTGTGCCTTTTCCCGTTTCAGCACAGTTTTATATATAGGGACGAGTAAAATCATATCCTTGTCCTTTGCAACAAATGATGTGTTTTGGTTAACACTGTTACAAAGATCATAAACTCACAGTAAAAGTCAAAAGTGAAACTGCCAAACTAAAAAAAAACACTGATCACAATAGTGGTGACCAAACATTTCTAATAAAACATCGAAACCTCTATTAAAAGCAACTTATGTAGTAATGCTCTTTATGGAAAAACAACGTATGTGGTAATGCTCTTTATGGAGTTGTTTAATCCTTCTGCTGAGATCTTCAGAGATTAAATGTGATGCGATCTGGGAAAACCCACCACATGGTGAAATTTGGCATATTACACGATTTGAGACCATATTAAAGCTGGGTTCAAGCCCTTTCCAAATCTGTTTTTATTTATTTTATCGTTTGTCTGTAACAAAATTTATAGTTATCTGAAGTCGGCTGATCGCTGTGATTTTCAGAAACAGAATTTTGAGAAAAACAGGTTCAATTAACGGTCACGTCCTGCTAGTGGGACGACTGGCGCTCCCTTTTTTATTGCCTTTTTTTCATATCACATATTTTAGTAATCATCATAGATTAGGTATCATTCGAAAGCTTACGAACTCAAAAAATCAACCTGTGAAAACCATTTTGAAATTGACGATTGAGAGGCGAGCAAGGTCTTATAAACGAGCAGCTTCAAACTGTGTTGTTCTCTTGTGCTCCGCATGACACCACACGATAACGCTGGATAAAAATAAATAAATAAAAACTTGCGTGCTGTTGTAGTTCACCCAGGACTGGACTTTATTCTGTTATGTGGTTTATTTTGATAGGTGAACTGTCTTTGTAGTGTTAAGAGAAGGAGAGCTTAACGGGAGATTTGTGTTTCCCCCTCCGCTCCGCCTGCGTGCGTGTTCTTAACCCTCTGATGGTCTTCAAAAAAAGTAACAATTCCAGTCTTCGGGGTCTATTGGACCCCAGACAATAATATTTAATTTTGTAACAGAATAGTTTTTTTTTTTTAACAAATATAATTTTACTCTGTTTATTAATGTTTTTACTCAACATTTGTGTAGTTTTTGGAGGATTTATGATTTTTTTATTTATTTCTATAAATAAATAAATAAATATTTATTTAAATAGGATTTTTACAAAAAACAGCATTTTATGTTAAATAAACTTTATAAAAGACCCAGATTTCTAACTTTCATTCCTGGGGATACCATGGATAATTTTACAAGGTTGAATGTAAGATTTTTTGCCTAATTTTTGGAAAAAACAGGTTAAAATTTGTAATAAGTCACTTTATCCACTAGATGGCTATAGAGCTCCACTAGATGGCTATAGAGCTTCACTAGGCCTATAACTATTTGAATTACTGAAAGATATAGTTTCTAAAGTTGGATTCAGTTGGATTCATATCTAAATATTGTAAAATCACACTTATAACAAAAATAAAATACTTTTTGTCAAAGTTTAGCCTTTGTTTTTGTACTGAAAAAACAACAGTTTTTCAATAATGTTACATTATGATTAGAATCAAACCTGAACAACATGTTACAAAGAGAAATGTTGGAGTCTTAAGATTTGATCATTTATTTCAACTGAACAGCAATAACAAATTCGCAAATAAAGCAGTAAAAAAAAATATAAAAAAAAAAAAAAAAAAAGTAAATTGGGTAGAAAATAGAATAACTAGGAACAATAGTTTGGAACAATAGAACATATGGTCTCATCTCTTTTATTTTTTTTATAGCCTTACAAATGTATTCCTGTGTGTGTGTGTGCACATTTTCAATGTGTCTTAGTGTTACCAATTTATTTTTGCGGTGGTTCTGCATTTTAGAGTATTTTATTTTACAAATGATAAGCGAATAGTTTTTATAGTCTGTATGTATTCCTGTATATTGCATTCCTCTATATGTGTGTGTGTTTGTGTGTGTGTGTGCATGTGTGTGAGCATGATAATTTTGGATTGTGGATGTTTTTTGCATTGTTGGAAGTGTGGCACTTAATTTCTGTCATTTCTGTCTGTGTTCTGCGTTATTTCTGATTTTGATGATGAATTGTGTCTATTTTGAGTCCAATGATAAATAAATATTTATTTATTAATTTATAGATATTTAAAAGATATCATAAATCCTCCAAAATCTGCACAAATGTTGAGTAAAAACATTAATAAACAGTAAAATAATATTTGTATACAAAAAAAAAACTATTGTTCTGTTACAAAATTAAATGGTATTTTTTGGGGTCCAATGGACCCCGAAAACCACGAGTGTGACTATTTTTGTCACGCCTACATAAAAACAGATAGAATTCCATTTTAATTTTTTTTTGTAGATCTTGACAGTGTTGAGAGCCGTAGCAAGTTTCATACCATTTGGAAAAAGAGAACATTTTTTTTAATTCAAGCAAAATTCATTTGGGGTCTAACAGACCCCGAAGACCATCAGAGAAACACAGTCTTTTCAACTGGACATTATAAATCGCTATTTTTCTGCAATAAACTAGTGAATTTTCCCAAGTTATATTCAGTGATGATAAACAAGATGTTATAGAATAATAATTGAATAAAAAACAAATTTTGACAAAAAACTGACATTCAATCTATATTTAGACTTTACTGAAAACGTACCAGCGCGACATCCGACGGGTTTTCCCAGATCGCAACACAAATGTCTTCTTTTATATTTATTTGATTTCATCTAAGGCTGTGCCTGGAAGTCAGTTGCAGTTCTTTTGTTTCTCTTTCGTTCAGTAATTCTGCTTGTTAACAACAGGTGTTCATCATTAATGCGCAATGTCTCTTCATTAATCACTTAATTATCTCATTCACTTTAACTGAGTTGACATTTTTTAGACTGGGACCATATGAACTCTGAGCAGAGTTAATTTAAAGCTGCAGTACGGCGTTTTTCCTCTTTGTCGCCATCTCTGTTCGAAATCTGCAATTGCAGTCTTTCGCTGAATTATCAATTTTACGTGAGTTTTACTTCAACACCCTCGACACGGCACAGCACGAAGAAAAGGTTATAAATCTTCACCTCCAGCATCCTGTACACACAATACAGTCTACTAGCTGAAACTCTTCTTTATGTGTACAGATGTGTGTGTACAGATGTTACATAATGACGCAAAGACGAATTTCCCGGAAATCCTCCAGTCCCACTGGAATTAAAAACATTATTACAAGCTTTCCGCTTTGAATCGAGCTAAGGCAAGCAGAGAGTGTTAAACACTGGCTGGTTATGTACTTTGTCAAATACATATTTTGGATAATTTTTGACTCCAAAAAACAAACAAACTACGGACTGCAGCTTTAACTCTTAACTCTGGGGATTTTGCTGTGTAGTGATAAAATTGATTAATTCCACACTGTACTTCCAATATCATTTCAGTGTTTTTTGAGTTCTTAAGTTTAGTAATTTTCTAAAAACTTGACAGGTTATTTCTTTTATTTGTTATCCCGCCAGGTGTTGAAGTTGGATTTGAAGGAGATCAGAGAGCAACAGGATTTGTTGTTCCGCTTCATGAGTTTCCTGAAGGAAGAAGGAGCGGTACACGTCCTGCAGTTCTGCCTGACTGTGGGTGAGGACATGTACTCAACATCAACACAACTCATGACTGTGCCATCACTATTTGGTTTCTGTTACCAAAAGATGTGCCACTACATTATTCATTAAGATAACAATAATGATTAACCCATTAGATGGTGTTAATTTAACTAAATTGATTATAGATTAATCCACTTCAGCACAATAATTTTCAGTATTCATAGATGTAGATGGCAAATTCACAATATCTGCTAACATGAAAAAGATCAGAGAATACATTTCTGGGCCTACTTTTGAATCTACTCTTATGAATCTACTCCCTTTCTTATTTGTCTCTTATTTTTGGGTAAGAAAGAGTCACCACTTACTACAGGGCTGTGTACACGGCAAAATCCCCAGTGTTAAATTAACACAGAGAAGTGAGAATTATATAAACTCTTGAGCAGAGTGTTAAATGAACACTGAAGCAGTGTTAAAGTTAATGAGATAATTAAGTGAATAATTGAGTGATGATTAAGCATCATTGAAGACACCTGATGTTAACAAGCAGAATCACTGAAGGAGAAAAACAGAAATTTTAAGTCACCATTATGGAGATCAGTGTTTGCTTTAGCTGGTCTCTTGACCCTTAAATCATTAACTTTAGATTTTGTTTGGCTACTCTATGACTTGTAACAGCCTAATGAAAAAAGGTGATCTGATGGTGTTGGTTGTGTTTCAACACAATCATTAATTGACCTGAATCGCTGAACTCATCAAGAGCATAAATTCTGAGTTAAATTTACCTTAAGGATTTTAGCAGCATGGTCATTTTAGGACATAAAATTTTTAACTTTTCAATGAAAAACGATACAAATTTTTTTTTTTTAAATATCCCAAAAATATTTTATATAGGCACACACAGACATCAATAATTAACACACTAATCTCAGCAATGGTGACAAACAGATCACCTCTGAACATAAGTTCATTATTTATTCATGCAGAAATGCATGATGGGAGCCATGAATGAGTTTTGATTGGTGGCACCAAGAATGCAATGAAACATGCTTTATAACTGTTACCATTGTTGAGATTCACAGGCTAATTATTGATGTCTGTGTGTCTTAACATTGTAGAGAAGTAAAAAATTGTATAAGAAAAGCTTTTAAGAAATTATTTTGAATAATATGTAGACGTTGACAGTATTATGCTGCACAATGTCACTGCTGCTATACTTAATAAAGTAAACCTTACTCAGAAATTAGAATTTATATGAATTCAGTGATTCAGGTCAAATGATGAATTAATGATTATGTTAAAACACAACCATCACCATCAGATCACATTTTCTATTTGTTTATCTGGCTGTTGTAATTCATGTACTGCAGCCAAACAAAATCTAAAGTTAATGATTTAAGGGTCAAGAGACCAGCTAAAGCAAACACTGATCTCCATAATGGTGACTTAAAATTCAGTTTTTCTCCTTCAGTGATTCTGCTTGTTAACATCAGGTGTCTTCATTAATGCTTAATCATCACTCAATTATTCACTTAATTATCTCATTAACTTTAATACTGCTTTAGTGTTCATTTAACACTCTGCTCAGAGTTTATATAATTCACACTCTCAGTGTTAATTTAACACTGGGGATTTTGCTGTGTAAATGTCACTGCCTTTTATATTCAGGTCTGGTTGGGTTATAAAAATGCTGTTCGGTCAGAACCAGGTCTAGTTTTATGGGGTCCGTTTCAGGTCTGGTTTTTGTCCCGGCTAAAAGTGATGCGAGGCGACACTGCAGTCGGTTTTCGATGCTGCTAGTTTGGTACTATGCATCTTCTTGCCCTCTAGAGGTGTCTGGCAGTTGTCCTCGCAGCGTTATCCGCTGGACATTTCTTTATGTTAGTCCAGCGAGATCTATTGAAAAAGTTGCAAACCTTTCTTGCACTGTGCCCTGGAATGTCCTAGTGAACGTTACCCACTACATATTCTGCTTTAATTCAGATTTGTGCACTTTTTAATTAGTTTTTGACCACAAAAGTGCTTAATTCTTTGACAGTCATAATTATTATAGATATCATAAGATCAGTGCTGTTGGTTTGGCAGGATTTTTATTAATTGCATCGGAAAATGTATAACTTTTCAAGGACTAGTTAAACCTGTATGAATTTCTTTCTTATGCTGAACACAAAAGAAAATATTAATAAGAATGTGGCTAACCAGACATTGACTTCCATAGTATTTTATCCCTTTTACCCACATTATTCAAAATATCTTCTTTATACATATATGTATGTATGTATGTTGTCCTTTCAATTTTTTCTTGTCTGACTCACCTGAATGAAAGGCTCATTATTAGGCGTGTCTGTCTCTCTCAGGTGAGAATCACCTAATTATACATGATGAGGGCTGGCCTGTTCACTCCCATTCGCATATTGCCTTGGCAAACAAAAAATGTTTTTCACAATATAACCCTATTCACAGTTTTATGTGAACGATTAGGAGGATGATTTTCAGATCATTGTGAAAAAAAACCCTAGGCAACAACATCAATTAGTCAAAAGTCTTGTGGAAGCATATTTCATATGTGTTTTGTGACTTTATTTCAGAAACTTTCATTTTTGTTTATTTCAATAACCACGCACAAACAATATTCTCTCAAAAATACAAACATTTACAAACATGTTGCTCACATATTATGGTAGCCCTGTTTGTACTAAATAGAGTGTAATTTCACCTGTGCCATTAATATGTTTATAAGCAACTGAAAACCCCCCCAAATGTTGGGGCATCTCAAAACATCTTAAGGACCCCAAATACACCCTAGACCTTGAGAAGAACAGCACGAGACGATGAACAGCAGTTGTTGGAAAGTTCATAATGCGTAATGTTTACGTGCACAGTGTTTAATCAATGTTAAAAATGTTAATGAATGTCAATGTGTGCTTTTGTGTGTGTAGAGGAGTTTAATGACCGGATCCTGTGTCCTGACCTGAGTGACGCAGAGATGCAGCGTTTGCATGAGGAGGTGCAGAAGATCTATGAGACGTACTGTCTGGAGGAGAGCATCGACAAGATCAGCTTTGACCCCTTCATCATAGATGAGATCCACAACAGTCAGTGTCATCACGGCTTTCTGTGTGCCGCAGCTGTGTTGTGTGTCTCTGTGTCTCATTGTTCTCTCCGTCTCTCAGTCGCTCAGGGGCCGTACACCGGCGTGGTGAAGCTCCAAACGATGCGGTGTCTGTTCGAGGCCTATGAGCATGTGCTGTCTCTGCTGGAGAAGGTCTTCACCCCCATGTTTTGCCACAGTGATGAGGTAAGCTTTCTCAGAGCTGCTGAAGATGTGGTGTTTAAACTCTCCATCATGTGCCTGTCTCTGTTCATCCTCAGTATTTTCGACATCTGCTCTGGGGTGCTGAGTCTCCTGCTCGAAATTCAAAGCTAAACAGGTGAGTTTGTGTGTGTGTGTGTGTGTGTGTTGCTACACCCAAACAGCAGAATACATTTGGGATTGATAAAAATAGTTCTGTTCATATATAGTTTGATTATGAAATGACTGACGACAAGTGGTGTAACGATTCGATACATTATAATATATATATATGAAGAGTTCAGATGCAAAAGCCTCTAAGTGCCATTTGAAATTTTCTTCTAGAATGATCATTTTTATCAAGCTTGTATATTTAAGTTCATTGATTTCACTTAAACGGCAATGATAATTACCTAATAATTGTTATTTAAGTAAACTTACTGAACTTAAATATACAAGTTTGATAAAAATCATCATTAAAGAAGAAAATTTCAAATGGCATTTAGAGGCTTTTGCATCTGAACTCTTCATATATATATATATATATATTATGACATGATATTATCATGATACTTCAGGACATATGGTAAAAAGGTTTACAAAAAATTTACTGTTGATTTAAAATGTAAAATTTGGTAGTACATTCAGGAAATGAATAGGACAATTGAAAAATTAATATACAGATTTATTTTAGAGGAATATGCTTGCACTCTGTTACTGACTACATATGAAGAGTTCAGATGCAAAAGCCTCTAAGTGCCATTTTGAAATTTTCTTCTAGAATGATCATTTTTATCAAGCTTGTATATTTAAGTTTAGTGATTTCACTTAAATGGCAATGATAATTACCTAATAATTGTTATTTAAGTGAAATTACTGAACTTAAATATACAAGTTTGATAAAAATCATCATTAAAGAAGAAAATTTCAAATGGCATTTAGAGGCTTTTGCATCTGAACTCTTCATATATTTAAAATAATGTAGGACACTTTTTAATGGTAACAAAAGGCATTTGGCATTATCAGGACCCACAAATATTCACCCATTGCATTATTATACATTATTTTCAATATTATATAGTAGTTTGATGTAGTAGTGACACTAAAACTCTGTAAACATTATTTATTTTCTCACATCCAGTTTAACTATACACAATACAGATCACTATCCATGATGCATTTTTGTATTGCGATATATTGAGACAACTGATTTGAAAGCACAGAAGTTAAGACATTTCTATTGTAATTTTGCTGTTATTCTGAATAAAATTAGTATTATTAACTATTTTTATTTTACAGTTCAATAGCATAATTACTATTTAGTTTTTGTTTTAATAAAACACATAGTAATTTAAATGTTGTATAGTCATATTGGATGGTCAAAAAACAGGCATTTTCATTTCTATTCACACACGGTTATACGACACCTTTCTTTGCTGTGTATTCTGTATGAGAGAGAAAGCTCATATATCATGAACATGCTTCATTATCAAAGAGTGAGTATTATTCACTTCATATAGTCATGTGTACAGTATGTGTAGCAGTGGGAGACATGTGGGGTAGATGGTAACCCCTTTTGCCTGTTATTCCAGGAATTTGAGTTTGGATGATTTAAGGTAAGTGTATTTCTGGAGGTTCAAGTGGCTGTTGTCCAGTGCTCTCACTGCATGCCTTATAAAGCTGCCTGAAAGCCATAAAACGCATCTCAGTGTCATGAAGAACATGTAGACTGTTTGATAGGAGGGGCAATATATCAGATATTTACAATATATTCAATACTGCTTTTGTGGCAATATGAATATAGTAAATACCATGATGATTTTAACACATTTTTATTTTTATTTTTACTGTGTCTGAAGGTTATGGAATGTTACATTAATTGAAAATATTCTGAACAAATGTTTTTCATAACAGTATTTGAATACACCTTGTGGTGCAACCTGGACACATCGTCAGTAATGCTCCCGGGGTCATAGGGTGTTTCGGGTCTTACATCAGACACCCTCACCCGGGCGACCCAGCCGGGGGTGATCAAGCCCCGACTTGTGTCCAGGTAGCGCTCTATGCCACGCGTCCCCCCTCCTTAACCAGAGCCATCGTGCTGCCTTTTCAGCGGCTTCCAGAATGTTCTTGATGGCTCTTTGCCTGTGCAGTCCACAAATCCCTAAGAGTCCCAGGACCCGGTGTAGAGACTGGCCAGCGAAGCCCCTACAGCCCACTTCAACCGGCTCACAGCGGGCTTTCCACCCATTCCTCCGACACTCCGCTACCAGATCAGCGTACTTGGCCCTCTTTCTTTCCTGGGCTTCCTCCATTCTCTCTTCCCAGGGGACCGTTAGTTCAAGTAACACCACCTGCTTGCTTGCTGCGGACATCAAGACCATATCCGGTCGTAGTGTTGTGACTGCAATTGTGTCTGGGAACCTCAATTGCGTCCCCAGGTCCACCAGGAGGTGCCAGTCTCTTGCTGTTGCCAGCACGCCCCCTTGGGTCTTTCTAGGGGGCTGCGGCTTCTCTCCTGCTCGAACAAAGGCAATTGCAGACTTGGTTGGATGGTGCTGCTTGCTGATGTTAATGCCAATGCAGATGGCGTCTGCTACTGCCCTCAGGATCTGGTCATGGCGCCAACGGTAACGCCCATCTCCCAAGGCTTTCGGGCAGCAGCTGAGGATATGCTCTAATGATCCCCTTTTCTGGCAGAGTTGGCAAGCAGGTGAGTCCACCAGGCCCCAGGTGAACAGATTGGCAGGGCTAGGAAGGACATCATACACTGACTGGACCAAGAACTTGAAATGGTGTGGTTCCGCCTTCCAAAGTTCTGCCAAGTGATCTTACGGCCAGCTGTTTGCTCCCACTTTGTCCAGGCCCCCTGCTTAACATGCCCACCACTCTGCTGAAGCGAGCTTCCTCCACCTCGGGCTCGTACCTCCTCCTGGATAAGCTTCCGCTTCTCCTTTCCTCTGGCTTTGCTGTAGCATGGCTTGGGATTACTACCAAAACCCGGCCCGCCCAGTTGCCACCGTACCCACCAGGGTGCTATGCCGCAGCCTTGCCTCCGCCCGTTCCACTGCATCCTGGGCGCGCCACTTCCTTCCTGTTCTGACTCTCTACCCTGCTGAAGAGACCTTGGTGTCAACTGAGTCTCGGTAGAGCAGGACTTCTCTGGCTCGGGTGACCTTGAACTCCTCTGCCAGACTACTCAAGGGAAGCTGTAGCTTGGTGTTATGGCCAAATAATGCAATGCTGCTTAGGCTCCGTGGCAGGCCCAACCACCTGCGCAGAAATCGGCTGACCTTCCGCTCAAAGCCCTCCACGGTGGTAATTGGGACTTCATATATCAGCAGTGGCCAGAGGAGACGAGGGAGGATGCCATGTTGGTAGATCCAGGCCTTAAACCTACCAGGAAGCCCTGACTTGTCCACTACCAAGAGCCATGTGTCGAAGTCATTCGCTGGTTCCCTTCCGTGCAGCGGTGTCCTTTAGGTTGTGGGTGAAGAGCTTGCCCAGGCTCTTTCACTGGCTTTTCTGACACTGATGGAATTCTGGTGTCCCCCAACATGAAGCGGAACTGATCAGCAACTTTTCCCTTTCCTCAAAACCAAGGACCTGGATTTCGCGGGCTTGAAGCTCATCCTTGCCAACGTGATGAGCTGTTCGAGGCCTCGCAGAAGCCACCTGCATCCGGGCACAGTGGTTGTGGTGACCGTGAGATCATCCATAAATGCTCTAATCGGGGGTTGTCGGGTGCCAGTTCTGGACAGTGGACCTCTACATTCCACTTCTGCAGACTTCACGAGCATATTCATGGCCAGTGCGAACAGAGACACAGAGATTGTGCAGCCTGTAATGATGCCCTTCTCCAGACGCTGCCACTCCGATATTAAAGTCCCAGAGGACACCCTAAGACTGAAGTTGTTGTAGTAGTCCAGGATGAGATTTTGAATCTTCTCTGGGACGTGGTATCTGCTCAGGGCCAATTCCACCAATCTATTGTGGTATCGAACCGTAAGCATTGGCAAGGTCCAGCCAAAGCACTGCCAAGTCCCCTTTGCCTTCTCGTGCCTCCCTGATCAGCTGAGTCACCACCCCTGTGTGTTCAATACACCTGGGACCCCTGGGATTCCTCCTTTCTGCACCGAGGTGTCTATGTAGGTGTTCTTAAGGAGAAATCCCATCAGACGATTGGAAACAATCTTGAAGAAGGTTTTGCATTCAACACTGAGGAGGGAGATTGTCCTAAACTGCTCGATGTTACTTGCATTCTCCTCTTTGGGAATCCACACGCCTTCTGCATATCTCCACTGCTGAGGTACTTTCCCTCTCTCCAGATGGTCTTAGAATCTTCCAAAGACGTTCCAGAAGCCTGGGGCAATGTTTGAAGACCTTGTATGGAACTCCACTTGGGCCCGGTGCTGACGATGTTCTGGCCGCTTTGATAACCTCTTTGACTTCTTTTAGGGTGGGTTCGTTGATGTTAAAGGGGGTGCTCGGCTCAGGTGGGCATATA